CTGTGGAGCACGATGCAATCGTAGAGCCCGATAACACGGGCAACGCAGATGCACTACGCGAGCACAATACCATAGACATCATTACCACACCTCGATTGCACGATAGCGTGATAACGCGATCGATGGAACAACGAGGAGAGCACGATACACGGGCGACGGAACAACACGACTACGTGGAAGCATCAAACCACGGAATAGCACCCTTCTGCTAGAGTACCGGCGATGAGAGGCCAACGGCCACGAAAGACTACGTACCACGAAACCGGTGCAACCCACATAAACTTTTGAGACCAGGAAATAGTTGGCAGCCACGAAAGGCGCAGTACTAAAGAGAATGAGCCTAAAAGAGAGAGCGCTTAGCCACTAAGCATCGTGGGCCACGGGTGAGCAGGGAACCACGAAGCCAAGAAGAGCACGGAAGAGCGCGGGCCACTGTAGAACATGACATCCAACCTCTAGTATGGGGTAACGAAAGCGTACCAAACAACAATATTATACGGGTCCACATGAGACTACGGAATGGTAAGTGGTTAAGTACACGAAGCCAAGACCTACTGGGGTGAACGACGCTCACACAGGACGCGACACCTAGAAGCACTTAAATTTGCGGCCACCTCATCTCCAACAAACCGTGCCCCTCCGCCGCGTAGCGGCGGCGAACGGCTAGTCTTACCTCTCTAGTGAAGTGTGTTGTCTGTCCGTCTGTCTGTCACGGGCTAGGGTTAATTAATGTAACGCAAATACGCGCGCTCTACTGGCTGCCGAGCGCAGCGAAGGCGGCGTCGATTCGCTGAAATCCTGCCGAGCGCAGCGAAGGCGGCCCCCGTTGGCTAAAACATACTTTATGTTTTTCACACATTGTATGTAGACTACACATCGTACTAAAAGAACCGTTTAAATTTTATTTTGCTCATTTCTATCTGCGGAGCGCCAGAACACGCGAAGGGCGCTGCCTGCGTGCGCGTTAGTTAGAATAATTAAAAGCCGCCGATGAGCACACACGTACTATATCGTGGTAGGAGCTGTTGAGAAAAATTGTAGGCGTTGGTGACTCATATTTCGCCCTCAATCGAAGCTATAGTACTTATTGGTTTAGAATGATGTTTTAGGCTTCGTAGTACTTTTCAAATAGTTACACTTACAGTTTTATTTCTGCGTAGTACTATTCTAAATAATTCTCATATTTTTGCTTGCAATTATTTGTAGTAGTAGTTATACAAATAATTATTATATCAGCGTTAGATAATAAATCACAATTGTATTATTATAGCAAAAAAGATAATGTGAAAACTTTAAAATGTGACTATTGTGGCTTACACCCCTGCAGCCTACACTGCCCCCGGGAAAAAGTATCATCTTCTTTTGAATTTGCGCGCGTAGTGTGCGACCTTAAGATATTGTGCGAGCTTTCCAACAATATATGTTGGGAACAGCGTTTGTTATTAAGTGAGCGCGGAGGTACGTGACTAAGCAAGAGCACGAAACACGAAGGAGCACCGACCCACACTATGAAGACGACGGGATATAAGAGCAACACGAAACACTGAAGGCCATGGACGATGATAGAAGACTTAGCCGATGCAAACCATGAAGTTTCATGCGTAGCGTGAAAGACGGGAGAGCACGCTGCCATGAAAAGTACAGAAGAACAAGAATATGACGGGAACGTACAGGCCACGGAAGGTAAATAAATACATAGACACCCCAGCATGCTGAAAAGCACGGGCTACGAAAGAGCACGGACGTTCGAAGCCACGGTAGAACACGTAGCGGTAAGAGTGCACGGACAGAAATTCTTCCATAGCACCACGGTTGAGCACGGAGCACAGTCGACCGACCAAACATGAAGCCGCGGAAGACCATTAACGGGAGGTTGTCGAGTATTGAAACACGATACCAGGGTAGAACCGGAGCTCACCGGGGAGCGCGATACTACTGTAGATAACGAAAGCTTGGACGACAGACCAGCCGCGACACCAAGAGATAGCACGATAGCATGGACGATGGGACAGCCACTAATACATGGGAGAACAAGCAGCCACGGAAAATCACCGAGCCACTGAGCACGATAGCACTGTAGAACCTGAGATCGCCGGGCCACTGAGGACGATACTTCATTAAAACACGTTTACCCGGACGGCCGACCAGCCACAAAATCGCGGGGAAACGCTTCTAATGACCACGACTGCACACTGCGGAACACGGAGCCATCGTAGAGCGCGATAACATTGGCAAAACATTTATACTATGCGATCACGACAGCATAGACAGCATAACCACATTGTGCTTGCATGATAGCGTGATAACGCGGTAGACGGAGCCACCACAGGGGTGCGCGGTACACAGGTGACAGAAAACTTAGGAAGATCACCCATTGGCGAGGGTACCGGAAATGGAACGCTATCTACCATGAATGATTATGGACACGAAGCCTGTGGTATCCACGTAAACCCTTGAGAACACGGAATATCTAGCAGCCACGAAAGAGGGTCGTACTACGGGAGCGCATGAGACCAAAGGAGCTAGCACACAACCACTAAGCACTGTGAGAGAATGAGGTCACAAATCCAGGACAATCACAAAGCAGCGTGGGCCACGGGTGAGCAGGGAACCACGAAGCCAAGAAGAGCACGGAAGAGCGCGGGCCACTGTAGAACATGACATCCAACCTCTAGTATGGGGTAACGAAAGCGTACCAAACAACAATATTATACGGGTCCACATGAGACTACGGAATGGTAAGTGGTTAAGTACACGAAGCCAAGACCTACTGGGGTGAACGACGCTAACAAAGTACGCGGTACCAAGAAGCACTTAAATTGGTGGCCACCGCATCTCCAACAAACCATGCCACTCCGCCGCGTAGCGGCGGCGAACGGCTAGTCCTAAACTATCAATGCTAGCACGGTGTCCGTCCGTCCGTCACACGAAACGCTCAGATTTTTTAGCCTTATCATTGGCTGCCGAGCGTAGCGAAGGCGGCTCTAATTGAATAAAACTGAATTATGTAGCTTACCTCAGTAAATTCATGTGGTTCACAGAGCACATATGGAGATTTGCACAAGAATATCCATTATCCGAAGGCGGCATCGTTTTTATATTACGATGTATTTACTTTTTTAATAATGCATGTTGCTTTTAATATTTGAGTGTTAACTACTTATTCTCAAAAGAAATAGCACCTAAAGACACTTCCTATTATAAGCTGCAAGGTGATTTAGCGTACACGTAGGAATGCGTGTTTTCGAGGAATATACGTAATATTCTGTACTTAATAGTTTCTGCAAGCTACAATGACTTTAATAACTGTTTTGTTGTAGAAACATTAATAAATTATCTGAGAGTGAGGTAACTAACTGACTGAGCAACAGAAACTGGCCGCTGCTAATAAACACTGTCACTTGATCCATAACGATAGTAGTTTTAGATTGAATAAAATGAACTCATATGTGTTACTGCTGTAAACCATTGTTTTCTAAGAGTTGTTTAGACAGCAAAATCCGATACTACTTAACTGGCGGACGCTTAGAATACGATATTAAATGGGGCGGCAAGACAACAACAAAACACGAGAGGTGGGAATTATAGCTGGTTAAGTAGACCCCATATAGAAACGTTAATAATTTTGGAGCCTAAATGACGTCCAATAATCCTGGAATCATCGTTACATATAAAAAAGAAAACACTACCGTCAACAGCAACAGCAGCAACGTCTTGCGACACAATATTCAAATGTTTCAATCATAACTGGCACAGATTCGAGTGCTAATTTTGAATCAGCACAAAATGAGCTCTACATACATTAAACATAGTACAATTCGAATGTTTTTTTGCTTTCATCGAGTTTGATATGAGAAGTGAACAATATTTAGTTACTTACAAACTGAAATCGGCAGTTTAAGCGGGTAAGTAGTGCAAGCTGGACAAATCATTACTATCGGGTGAGCTAAGTTTCATAGTGGCTCAGGAACGGCCCGTGATATCGAGCACGACGCTAAAGTAAACGTATTGTGTAGCGTTTGTATAAATGTTATTTGAAGTGCTGGTGGTTTTGGGTGGAAGATGAAGATAAAGTGACAGCCAGCAATAAAAAAAGAGATTGGATCAAGAATCTCGATTCAAGATCATTAGAAAAATCCTTTTTTAAAATCAGGTAAGCATGATGCTGACCCAAATTAATGAAATTTAAAAGATCGATTTAGGTACACATGGGCTCAGCGGTTTTTTCAATAGTACTCCCGCCTCCGCTACGCTTCGGCGGGAGTACTATTGAAAGTAGAACTAAACCTAAACTACCGCTGCGTAGCGGCGGCGCTCGGCTAGTTTTATTTAAGAAGGACAGTAACAGATAGTTGATGTCCTGCGCTTTCGACGTCAAATTGACGCTCAGATATACCTTTTTGGAAATTGGCGGGGGTAAATACCGACGCTTGGTGGAGGAAACTTGAGCTCATGAAGGTAAGTTGAGAAGTGAATTGATTGGAAAGCCAGGAAATTTAAAAAAACTACTTGACTAACACGCACTGCTCTCAGGTGCAGCTTCGAGTCGAAGCCACTCTGTCGAAGTCGTACCATCAAGATGGCGCGATACAGCGCTTCTGAAGCATGCCACTGCTATTGCCCCCATCTTCTCTTGTTATCTTACCGTCGTGCCGACGCTACTGCACGTGTCATTTGTCGAGCACGGTGTGTCCCAACATTTCAGTTGATAGCATAATTGGGCAGTATGGGCCGTCATTGTCGGACAGTGGGTTCTCACTGTTGAATGACATGCTTGTTTTTGCGGCGAGCGTACGGTGTTCCCCTTACTCGATAGATATCTACATGTACTGGCATGTAGAAAATCCAAATTGGAATTTTTTTACTCGAAGTGTCGCCGAATAAGGGTCTTACTCGAAAGAAATCCGTCAATTACTCGAGAAAAATCCGCACCCATTGTGTACTGGACACCAAAGTGATAATCACTCTACATGTACTTATTAAAAGCGGGGCCTCAGGAGATGCTTCGTGCGCTGCGCAATCGTGGAGCAGGCCGTGCGCGCCCCGCGGCGGTGGCTATTCGTCGTTGGAAGAGCGAGGAGACTTCTTCACCTGTGCAGAAACTTAGCGACGACATCCGACGCTCACAGGAGGAGACGCGGCGCGTGCTGCTGCTGATCCGCACATTCAAACAGGTACCGCACGTCTCTGTGTGTGGATGAATCATCCGAGTGATACTGACACACACTCTCCGTTTTGTGGCTCTTAGTATGGACACTATGTCGCTCAGATCGATCCGCTACAGAAACGTGCGTTTTTTGATAACCTCGCGATTGTAAAGAGGCTTACGGTCTCTGCTACACAGGGGAAAAGCTGCCGGAGTTGGAGCGCTGGATCAATGGCGACCGGTGGGTGGAAATGCCGTTTTTCGACGATTTCAATCTGCGCAGCCTTGCATCCAAAAATCTGCTCGAGCTCACGACGCATGGTACGAACGCGTTGCGGCCTCTATAATAAGGACGGGCCGTTCGGACTTTGATGGGGTGATGTTCCGTCCTCAGGTTTTACTGCCAGTGATTTGGATCGGTTTTTTTTCATTGGCCAAGATCTCTCTATTGGTCCTGTAGCGACTCTGCGAGAGGTAAAAACTGTGCCAGTGGTTAAGAGCACACGGACTTCATTGACGGCGGTGCTGTGGCTTTTAGATCGTGACAGAGCTACGGGAGCTTTTCTGTGGACACATTGGCCTCGAGTACCAACATCTGCGTAACCGAGATGCTGCGCTGTGGATCCGCGAACGTCTTGAAAAATATAAGGTGGCATATATACCACCACGAATGAAGCCTCCTTTTGGGGTGACTAACCGTTTGCACTTTTTGGCACAGGAGAACCAATTCAGCAATGAAGAGAAGGCGAATATGCTACGTCAAATGGTTCAGGCAGAACTGTTCGAGCGATTTCTTGGGCGTCGCTTTTCTGGAGCAAAACGCTTTTCTATTGAAGGCTGTGAGAGCTTGATTCCAGGTCTTTGTGAACTCCTCGAGAGCGCCAGTGATCACGGAGTGGAGGTTGTTCAGATGGGGATGGCACATCGCGGCCGTTTAAACGTTTTGGCGAATGTCTTGCAACGACCGTTGCGCTCCATTATCTCCCAGTTCCAGCCGTATCTGCCAGATGAACCGGACTATCCGAATAACTCTGATGATGTTCGGTACCATCTTGGGACATCATCAGTTATTGAAATGCGCAATGGCAAACAGCTGGAAGTGACTTTGGCGGCAAACCCATCGCATTTGGAAGCGGTAAACCCGGTTGTTCTTGGCCAAGCACGAGCCTGTCAAACGCAACTTGGGGATAATGGTAGCCGAGTAATGCCGATTCTGATCCATGGAGACGCTTCAATGTTTCAGGGATCAGTCCGAGAGGCGCTGGGGTTCAGCTCACTGGAGGACTTCAGAACTGGAGGAACGATCCACGTGATCATCAACAATCAAATTGGCTTCACAACGTTACCCAAGAACGCAGACTCAGCTGTGTATTGCACGTACGGTTGATAACCTTGTGTCTCAAGTGGACCCTAATGATGTGCATCAGTATCTGACTATGGTTCGTTTTGCCTTTTCTTGCAGCGATGTTGCTAAAGTTTCAAGAAGTCCTATCTTCCACGTGAACGCTGATGATCCGGAGGCGGTGGCAAAAGTGATGAGAATTGCGGTCGAATACCGTCAAATGTTTCAATGTGATGTGACTATCGATTTGGTGTGCTACCGTCGTCACGGTCACAACGAACAAGATTCACCGGAAATTACAGCTCCGATCATGTATTATTTCATCAACAAGCACCCCCACAGCGGTTAAGATCTTTTCACAGAAAGCTTACAAGCGAGGGTGCTTTGACATCTAAGGAATATGTCAAGATGTGCTCTACTTTTGAAGATCACCCTTGTCTCAGAATATCACCACTCACGCAAAATCCAACCAGGATGGGACGACCCTGGGGATACATCGTGGAAGACTGAGTGGTATACCGACACAAAGAGTCCTAACTCGGAGACACTACCGGTAGCCAACATTCCAAGTGTTTGTGACATCAACGACAAGCAAATCTATGATCGGTCGACGGGTGTTGAGCAGAAATTTTTAGAACAGGTAGGTAGCCAACTCTTCCGCATCCCGCAGGGTTTTTCAGCGCATCGCAAGGTTGAGGCCATTATGAACAATCGCTTACGTGCAGTTGAAACTGGTGCGCGGGTGGACTGGGCAACAGCAGAAATGTTGGCTTTCGGCAGCCTCTTAGTGGAAGGAGTCGCTGTGCGCCTTAGCGGACAAGACTGCGAACGTGGTACCTTTAACCAGCGACATGCCGTCCTCTATGACCAGTATGCAGCGCTATCTGGACGCAACTCGGCGTACACACCTCTTAACAACCTTGACGTAGAGGGAGTCAGAAGCACGCTTCAAATGACTGGATTAGAATCCGCGCGGCGGGGACGTTTCGACGTCGTTAACAGCCCACTAAGTGAAGAAGGAGTACTTGGCTTCGAATACGGATATTCCTTGCAGACTCCTATGGGGTTGACTATCTGGGAAGCCCAATTCGGTGACTTTGCGAATGGCGCCCAGACAATGATCGACACTTTTATCACTACGGGAGAACAGAAGTGGCAACGACAGTCGGGTATTGTGCTGAATTTACCACACGGTTTTGAGGGCCAAGGGCCCGAGCACAGTAGCGCACGAATTGAGCGTTTTCTCCAGTTAGTCAACGAAGAAAGTGACGAATTCACTCAGGAACAGGATGTGAATGCAGCCATTACTAGGACCAACGTTCAGGTGGTGATTCCATCCACACCGGCCCAGTACTTCCACGCACTTCGTCGGCAAGTATCCTCCAGCTATCGCAAGCCGTTAATCATGTTCACGCCGAAGTCGCTTCTTCACCACCGCCCGTGTAACTCAGACTTGGCTGACTTAAGCTTGGGCACCTCATTCCAGCGCGTGCTCCCACCTCACCCCGATGATCAAGTTACAATGGTGAACGACGGCGAGGTGAGAATTGTTTCGCTATTACGTATGCGCGGTTTCCTATTGACGTATCCACAACGGTTTTTGACACTCTCGTTTTGCTTTTAGATCCGCAAATTGGTGCTATGCTGCGGCAAAATTTACTTTCCGGTGCGCGTTGGTATGCGGAGCCGTGGAATCCGTGATATCGCTACGGCTCGCATTGAGCAGCTTGCTCCATTCCCGTTCCACGAAGTGGCAGACTACATCGCTCTATACCCAAAGGCGGAGATCGTATGGGTCCAGGAAGAGCCGAAGAATATGGGTGCCTATAGTCATGTTCTTCCGCGATTGCTGACGGTGCTGAAGCATCTGGGCGACCCTCGCAAGTTTTCTTACATTGGACGTCCACCCTCTGCTTCGCCTGCTACTGGGCAATATGAAGTGCACCTTCAGGAGATGAAGGCAATTATCGACGAGGCACTCGCGTGATAATAATTAAATGCTAATAACCTTACACTTTCGCAGTACCGTGAGAAAACAGTAGTCTGCCTTAATAAAGAACACCGAGAAGCTTATAGCCTTCAATATGTTATGCGGCTGACCTTGCATCAAATTATTTTCCATATGTTTTGGTTACCTGTAATCTCATATGTACCTTTTAGATTGTATATATATCAGGTGTTCATTAATGAAGCAAAACACTGCACTACATTGACAAGTGTATTCGCAAATGAGAACAATCTCAGTGTGAATGATGAGGACATGGCGAGCGACCGCTTGCGCAGTTCTCATTAGTCGAAAAGGGCCTTTATCTTAAGTTTTGTAAAGGGCTGATGTATTATGCGATGGGAAAACGGGGATGCCATTGTAATCATGAGCTTTGCTACACTAGCGGCAGTCGCTGCGCTCTCACCTGGAGAATGCAGTGCTCGGCTCACTGGAAAGCTCGGCGCTGGGCCCGCCTCTGCAAATACTGCGTGGCCTTGCTTCGCGGGCACCCCGCGCGGGTTAGCTGCGGCTACGCGACCTCGCATCCGCTCGCCTCAGTTGGCCCATTCTTTAACACGTTTACCTCCTCCTAAAAAAAACTGCGCAAGCAGCCACGCCTTTGTTACTAAATGAGGATCACGGTACGGAGTGGCTTAACTGTGAGACATGTAAGGTTGCTTTTGTAACTTATGGTTGCTTTAGACAAATTTAAAAATTTCCGCTCAAATTACTGTTTCTATACTTTCAGAAACTCGTAAGTTCGTTTCGTTTGTATAAGTACGCAATTACAGTAAAAGTCATTTTAAGTACGCTTCATTCATAGACTCTCATTTCGAAAGCGCACGCAGAGTGGCGCAGCGGGAGAAGGACGGAGGAAGTTCACGACGGCTTCAGGGACTCTCCAGTCACCCACGTCCGGTACGCATTTTAATAACAGAAGAAAGAAGCTATACTACGCTATATAGTAAAATGGATCTGTTTGTATGTCGAAGGGCGACGTTTGCGTAGCAAGTCAACTAACAGCTCACGACCACACTACGCTCAACTTACACTGAGCATAGAGAAGGACCATTCCAGCGATGAGGATTACAAACCTGATGATGAAGATATCGATGTCGACGTTCAGAGCACAGAACGGGGTAAGCTGTGCAAGTTGACCTTAAATTATTGCTACTTATCATAATTATATGTATATATATATGTGACATACTAACAGGTGTGAAGTGTGGAGAGAATACTGGACATAAGGATGAAGATGTATCTGGAGAGGAGAACAAACTGGTAGAAGTGAACAAAAAGGAGGAAGAGGAAAATAAGGGTGCGTTCATTGGATCTATTCTGTCGTCAATGGTAATGACATATCGGCCGTCAGTGGTAATGATATATCTAAATATTGTCATATAAAATGTATTGTACGCATCTTTGCAGGTAGCAACCCAATAAAAGCCAAAGGTACAAAATGGTCACGTGCCTCCCAGGATAATGCAGTTTCCGCTCCATTTATTGCGGAATGTATCGGACAAGCAGAAAGTATTGGCAGTAGCGAGGGCGACCGTGATGGATACACGCCACGAAAACGGAGTAGCAATCATCTTGCTGAGCTTGCGTCTATGTCGAAGCAGGGCCAGACGATTGAAAACGTCGTTGCTCCCTTTCCAAAAGTGACAACCAAGACATGGGGTGAATTTGACACTTTACTAGCGTCCTACACAAAAGCAAACAACCTGCACTTTCGAGTTCGCAGCTCCGAGTCGGCTGAAACGTATAACCGGTATGTATTATTATTTATGCTATGTAAATTATCTAATGGTAGCCTAACCTTAATTTGTAGGAGTGACACAGACGAGATACCTTTAACTTTCCGCTGGCACCATAGGGTTTTCGGTACACTCATGGCGTTTCTCAGCATTCTCGATCTACTGGGCAGCGCACACGCAAACCACGGTTCTGTGGGTGCTTGGCGCGCTTCACACCCACCGTGATGCTTATGGATGACGGAACTCTTTAAATTGTCATCAGAAATGAGGTGAGTTGCTCTATATAATTTCGTTTTATACTATACTTAAAGCAACTGACAACTGCCTTTCTTGCAGAATCATACACAGACCCATGTAACTTCTCGTGTTGAAGCTGCTTTGTATTTGACAAGTAAAACGATTCCAATTGACGAGCAAGACCTTGAGGATGTGAAGACCCTTGCGGACGCCCGAACGTCTTCCAAGCAAATTTCGAATTATCTGAACGACCGTATTGGTAAGAATCCATAATTTTTAAGGTCTATTTCCTGGCATAATATCAATTAAAATTATTTTTCCGCATATAGGATGTAGAATCACCCCTCAGCAAACTCGCAACCTCTTGCGCAATATTATTGGGCGGGATTCAGCGGAGGATCGTTTGAAAAACATGCTTCACGCGTTGAACCAGCTAGACGGAAGTGACGTACTTGTCATCCAAGACCAGATGGATGTCACATGCGGAATAGTGATGCAAACGAAGCTACAGAAGCGAATATTCGAGTTATGGGGCGAGACACTTGCGATGGATTTCACACACGGCACCAATAATCTGGGCTATCACTTGGGTACGTAGTTTTACAGCGACCTTTGGGCAACCCTACAGCAACACCAGTAGGGCAACTCTGGAGCAGCTTCAGTTTCTAACGAGAAACATCGTTTTGTGTGTACAGGCAGTCTTGTGGTCACTACTGCTACTGGTAGGGGGTTTCCAGTGTTTGACTTCATCTGTCTGGATGAACAGGCCGTGACCATTTCAACGATCCTAAGTATTTTAAGGATAAAAACCCAGGGTGGAGGGGTATCACATCAGTTGTGATCGACAAGGATTTTGTGGAATGGCGTGAACTCAAGAATACATTTCCAGACGCAAAAATTTGCTGTGCCAGTTTCACGCAATAACATACTGGAAGAAGGTGATGCGGAGATCTAGTTTTCGGTTGACGGTATCTCAACGAGATAACCTCATTATGGTGATGTGTAGACTGTTGTATAGGTACGCCACATACTTATTTTTTATATATAACAATCTAATTTACTTGTATGTTCATAGCAATACGCAGACTGATTACGACTCACGATACGAGGCGCTGAAGCGGTACTGTGACGACAACAAAGGCATAACCATTTTCGCCTATTTCGAGAAGAACTGGCACTCGTGCCGAGATATGTGGTCCAACTTTTCTCATGGCAATTTTTTTAATACTACTACAAACAGTGTGGAATCGAATTGGAATCAAGTAAAAATGCTTCTGGGACACAAAACGCGGATCGACTAGACAATCGCGGGACTACTTCAGCATCAAGTCACTGTGGCGCATCAAATCATCCGTACTGTTGGGCAGCATTGCTCGTCCACACGCTTGCCGAAATCTGTCACCCCCTTTTTGAGAGGTGTTGCTACAAGACTTTCTTCTGGTATGTTACGGAAAGTGACAAGAGAGTGGGAGCGTTTCGCGACTCTCATGGCCAACGCCAAATGCGAACGAATTACGTCTAGTGTTTCGCGATGGAAAGTTCACTGCTACACCGAAACACACAACTGTGACAGCGTAAAATGGACGTGCTCATGCCTATTTTACTCGAGTCATAATCTGCCTTGCCGGCATCTGATGCGGTTGGCCTCTACAGAGCATGAACTGGAGGCACTTCCCGCCGCTGCAGTTAAAGAGCGATGGAGTATGACGTATGCTCTGGATATACAAGAAGAGTAGCCTTCGCGGCAGCCTTGCTAGAGCCAATTGTGCAGATGTCCAAGCTAAAGTCGCCGAAAGGGTCGCCGAAAGCGTCACCGAAAGGGTTGCCGGAAGGGTTGTCGAAAAGGTTGCCCTATCAACACCAGAAGGGTGGTTCTTCTCCAGTCAAACAGGTGGTGTACGCTCGACTTCGTCGCAATGAACGCGCAAAACATGTTGTCCTCTCATCGGCTGAGAAATATACTTACGCTAAGGCTATGATGGAACCTCTCCTCGTGCATTTGTCGAGCATGTCAAGTTCCGAGTTTTACCAAGAACTAAGTGCGCGGAAAGACACAATCGACGAGGGACTGAAAGGCGGGGCGACTAAGGTGAACACTGCCCATGATACTGAACACGCTACTGACTGGGAGAATGAGAGTGACGTATTCAGTGGGATCGATCATACCGAAGCTATTGAGGCAATCGACATAATGAAGATGTTTGAAAGTGAAACCGAAGATCTCTCTGATAACAAGCACATTCGGGAGAATCACGAAAGACGAGACGATACTGTATGTTCGGCTGAGGCAAGCGGTACTGTAGCGACCGGTGCTCCCGCATTGAATCCTAAGACAAAAGTGCAAGAACAGCACTCTTGATACCTACTTATCATTACTCAGCTTGTTCACCAGGAGCTCCAGCAACATTCCAAACGATAGCGTCTCCATGCGAGACAGGGTCACGTTTTCATCTTTAACAGTCTCAGATAATTCGCACCGGAGCTCCCCCCTCTCTTCGATAAGGGCTTGAACCTCTAGTTGAGCCTTCATGATCATCTCCAGATCATGTTCAATACCGTCGATTTCACACATTCGATTGCCATCCCCACTTCGTCCCTCGGGCCGTCCTGCTACACCTACGAAGGCGAACAAAACATTCGCCTCAACGGCGGGTTCAGCTGACTGTGCCAGCCCGGCATATTCCAACCCAGTCCGTATTGGCGGGCGGCCGAGCTTAAAGCACTCGGTATGTAAAGGTCTTGCAGATCTTCTGGCACTTGAAACTTGTCGACGGAATTCTTCACGAACGTAGCCAACTTCTCGTATCGACGGAACAGCTCGCACTGACCGACTTCAGGGTCTTGCTTGCAGAATTTGCAGCGTCGCCGACAGAAGTGAGCTGAATGTCTCCGGCTTCCGCAGGCTGCACAAGGTCCACGTTGAAGCTGTCGTGGGATCCAACTCTGCAATTTGTCTGTCCTCGTCGGTCGTATGGTCGCGGAGGTCTACTCGCCGGGTTTCCCCAA